ACCCAATATCAACATTATGATGTAGTGGCAAGAGCCTGACTTGGAGTCAGAGTTCAAATGTTGCCCCTGATACTTCATAACCATCTTAAACTGCACAAATCATGTAATTTCTCATTGCCTCAGGTAATGAGTTGCCGTCCTGCATAAGTGGAAGAAGATTTCATACTGGGAGTTCCCTACACCTATGGAATCACAAGCTCAGACCCTCCTACACACACATTATTAAATTTTTTTCTTTAACGAATCTGGAGAACTATTTTGAAATATTAACTCAAAACCCCCATTCTATCATCCTTTATGATCATTCTTTAGGATGATAGAAGCAGGTTGTTGAGTTAGCTTTTGTAGGAGAAGTTGTAAATGCCTTCTTCATCCAGTACTGATGCTAAAGCATAGCATAAAAGGCTAGTCTACAACAGCCACCACAGAAATATTTATTAAATACCAAACTGGGTCCCAACTCACAAAGAGGCTGTGTTCCAAATACTGGCTTATAAATTAGGTGTTTAAATTTAGAATACATTTCTACAGCTGTAAATGGAGATTTCCCAATGAACCCAATAAGTATTGTCTCCCCCTGTTGGAATGTAAGCGCCTGAGCACAGGTACTCATCTTGCTTTTACATTTGCATCATGCTTGGCACAGTATTTCTGCATTCATTTGACCCACAATGTCATAGAAATACTGGATGTATGCAGTGACAAATAGTACAAAACAATACTAATTCATTCTAGAAATTAAGCAAAACATTAAAACAAGATAATGGAATAAGAGGATTTATATAAAAACTATCTTAAATACTGGTCCACAGAGAAAAGTTGGTGGATGAGGATGGAAGGAGGAGGCTTTTGTGTAGATTCTGAAAGGAAGTTCTAGGCACTTTCCAGGGCTTTAGAGGCTGATTACCATCTCATTTTACTTAAGAATTCTCCTCTTGAGAATGGTGTATCTCTAAAAAGTGTTTTTCTTACTTTAAGAAATAAATTCATTCTTCCACTTAGCCATGATTAAGGTTATTATTATTATTTTTTTGGAACACAGATAGAATAAAACACACATGGGAGAGAGAGAGGAAGAGAGAGGGAGAGATTTTGCCAAAGAGAATTGAACAAGAATTGGAAGAAATAAAGAAGGTGTTAAATGGGATGTGTCTGGGAGTGGAAGAAAGGTAATGCTTTGTTTGGTTTTTTTAAAGAGGAAAAGGGGCTTATATGATGTGACCCTAGGCAAATCCCTTAACCCTTCTGAAACTATTTCATCAGTAAAATGGGGATAATACATAGTATCACAAGATTGTTGTGAGGCTCAAAAAAGACAAAATATGTAAAACATTTTGCATATTTAAAAGTACTATGAAAATTTCACCTATTATTAGTTACATATTGTTACATTTGTAACTTAGGAATTAGCTTTATGGGGGCAGCTAGGTGGCCCAATGGATAAGAGAACGGGCCCTGGAGCCAGGAGGACCTGATTTCAAATCCAGTCTCAGACCAGACACTTGACACTTACTAGCTGTGTGACCCTGGGCAAGTCACTTAACCCAATTGCCTCAAAAAAAAAAAAAGAATCAAGGAATTACCTCTATTGGCTAAAAGCAGATGTTTCTAGTCCTTTAGTTTGAAACCTATTTTTGCCTCTACTATCAAATACAAATTCCTCAGTTTGATATTTAAAGTTCTGGCATTCACAGCCTGGCCCCTTCCAATTATACATGACTTATTAACTATTCCTCTCCTCCATACACTCTATGGTCCAGACATATTAGCCTACTAGCTATTCATCATAAAAGACACTTCACCCATCTTCCACTTCCATGCTTTTTGCTGTCCATCCCCCATAGCTAGAATGCTCTCCCTTCTCACCTCTGCTTCTTAGGATCCCATGGCTTCCTTCCCACCTTCCACATGGAAGCCTTTCTCTAAAATTAGCTTGGATCTACTCTCTCTGTCTCTGACTTTGTTTCTCTCTCAGCATACACACATATGTGCACACACACATATATACATGTATGTACACATGGGTGTATAAATGTGGATGCGTATGTATATACACAGATATATATATATACATTTTGTCTCTCCATTAGAATGAAAATTCCTTGAGAGCAGGGAAGATTTTTGGTTTTTCTTTGTGCCTTCTGTTACTCGTTGCAGTGTTTTGTACATAGTAAGCACTCAATAAATGCTTTTGATTGATTGTTATGAGAAGTAGTCAAGGAGTGGGATAGCTAGGTGTCAGCTGGGTAGAGGCACTGGTAAGTGTGGGCAGGGTCAAGCTTATTTTGTAGGCAAAATAGACTATTTGCAACTTTTTTTTTTCAGACTGCCGTACAGGATTGGCAAGTTTAGACGAGATGACCTCTGGTTCTTTGCCCAATGACTTTATGCTGTGTGGCTTAATTGGTTCAGTATCATGACTGGAAGCGAAAACCTTACATACCCACCCCAAGCCCATACCACTCATCTCTGATATCATTCCCATCCTCACCCCACCTTGTAGGAGCATAAAACACTTAAAAATAAGGCTAAATGGCTGCTTAATCATCAGACAGGCTTCCCTAGACAACGACATAACATAAATCCAGTGTGTTTGTTTTATAATGACACTTGCAGGACTGGATTCACAGTAGACACAGTTGGTTTTTTGTGCTCCCCCAACACTCCTTTCTGCCCCCTTGTTCTGTGATCACACAAAGACCTACCCTCTATATCATATACTCAGCCTACCTCAGATCCCTTTTGCCAGGAAGGTGATCACTCTGTTAAACTACCTATGTCATACTAAGTCAGGTATTTAATATATGTTTGAACCCTTCTCAAAATGTCAGACAATAAGTTATTTTCAAAGAGGACTTGGTCATTGGAAAAGACAATATTTAAGGCTAAGTAGTGAATCTTCAGGGATGGAATTTTAGACACTGTAGCACCTGAGTGAGAGTTTTGACCAAGGGACCTCTAAGCAATCTAGGACCAGGACTGGAGATTTAGAGCTTGGATAATCATAAAAATAGCTGATATTTAGATATTCAACCTCAGACAAAAACTTGCTATGTGACCCTGGAAAAGTCACTAACCTCTCAGTGAATAATACTAGTCAATCAATAAACATTTATTAAGCATTTATTATGTTCCAGGCACTGTGCTAGTGGTGGGGATACAAATATGAAAAAAAAAAGTCTCTGTCCTCAAGAAGCTTACAATCTAGTGGGGGAAGACAACACACAAAGGGAAACTGAAAAGAGGAAAGCAAAGCAGCCAGTGTGAGGGCTTGACAGAGACATCCAAAGGAGAGCACTGGGTGAGAAGTGAAAAGAAGTGATTGGCCTGGGCACCATTCTTACACGGAGGTATTGGAAGGGAGCCCTTTACACCACCCTCCCAATCAGGGGGTCCCAGGGCAGAAGATTCTGATGAGCAGTGAGAACCAAGGCTCATCATCAGAAATCTCATCCTCTTGCTGGCCTCCTTCCTCGGTACCATGCTGCCTCAAATCACACAGCTGATACAATGTCACTGTGGAAAAACACAGGATTTGAAATCAGAAGATTTGAAGGAAGGAACAAAGCATTTATTTAGCACTTGCTGCGTGCAAAGCCCTTTGCACTGAGGATACGGAAGGAAAAGTAAGGCAGTCCCTGCTCTCAGGGAGCTTCCCACATGACAGGAAAGATAATGCACGTGGAAGGTTTTAGCTGCAAGTCCAAACAGACTATGGAAAGGCCCTATGGCCCGTAGGGTTGCAGAGGTAAAGCAGATGGGAATTCGTCTTTGTTAATGTGATTTCTGCTGATAAAATTATATCATTTTCTTATGTTGAACTATTTGGCAATGACAAGGACTTGGATGGCAAGAACTTTCTTTTCTGGGCCTTCAGTAGATGCAGCTGATAGCACATGCAGGAGCAGTTGCCAGGCTATATATCCACAGAGGCTTCTTCCCAGGGTGACAGCTGAGGGCCCTAGGCTGGAAGTATGGCAATTCATGAGGTTTTGGGGGTCAGGATCCTGGGCTGTTTTCATTAGAGTCTGAGAAAAGACAGTGGTCACAATGGTGGTGGTGGTTTGATATGCCTGGTATATGCTTAGGCTTGGGTTCAAATCCTGGCTATGCTAATAATAATCGTAATAGTAATGAGTAGCTAAGTGGCACAATGGATAGAGTGCCAGGCCTGGAGTCAGGAAGACTCATTTTCTTGAGTTCAGATCTGACCTCAGACACTTACTGGCTCTGTGACCCTGAGCAAGTCACTTAACCCTGTTGGCCTCAGTTTTCTCATCTGCAAAATAAGCTGGAGACGGAAATGACAAACCACTCAAGTATCTTTGCCAAGAAAACCCCAAATGGGGTCATGACGAGTCAGACACAACTGAAAACGACTGAACAAAAACAATAATAGAAATAGTAATAATCTGTGTCATCTTGGGTAAATCACTTAACCTCTTATGGCCTCAGTCTCTTCATTTGTAAGGGGATGAGGTTGGACTAGATCAGGTCTAAGGTCCATTCTGTTCTAAATCTTATTAACTTCACCTGGGCATAAAGCTCACCCAGAGTATTTGCATAACCTCTCCTATTTTCATGACTACCATTATGTTTGCTTTTTCTGGGACAAGTTGGAACTAGAATTTTCCAGTTTCTGGGAGTCTGCCCTTTAATGTCACTACTAGATCAGGTGTTAGCCCATTGCTTAATCAAGACTGTCCTCATTTCCTTGATATTCATTTTGATTGTTGGAAAAGCCAACAGGCTTTCAGTTGTATGTATTAGGATAATAGCTAAAGCACTGTGGAAATCTCTGCACAGTGAGTGGTAAACAGTATAATCTGTATGGGGCTGATGTTGTAACAGACAATACTGACATCATGGATATATTCAATAAACTTTACCCCCAGCACAGAGGCATGTACTTACTGCACAGGACATGACTTTCTAGAGGCAGATGGTACCAGAGTGTAAACTGCTTAAACAAATAAATGTATACTTCTATTTCATTTCAGCAAACTCCAGAAGACAAAGAGAGATATTCGATGGCTCCATGGAGTGACTGGTGAGTGGTTTGAAGAAATCCAGAGAAAAAAGTTTCGAAATGATACCGATGTCAACCAGATGTTGAAACAACCACTCGTGTACAGGCTAAGGAAGACAAAAAATGGTGAGATGATGGGTATATGTGTTACCTCATTTCATAGCTCTGCGGCTTTTGTTTTGTTTTATTGTTTTTTGGAAGGAGGAAAAGAGAATCTGAGGAGGGTGATCCAGACCTATGATTTCATTGGTTACAGGGAATTCCCAAAGTGGAAACTCTCTCCACTAATATGGAAATTTTCTCCACTGAAGCAGATTGGTAACTAGGACCATACAGGACCACATAAGAAATATAGGATCAGAGATTTAGAGTTGGAAGGGACCTTAGAAGCCAGACAGTCTAATCTTTACATTTTATAAATGAAGAAACTGATCCTCAGAGAGGTTAAGCAATTTGCCCATAAACACATAGCTGACATGTGTAACAGCACTTGAACCTAGATCTTCCTAACTACAAAGCTGGACCTCTATCTACTACGCCATGCTGCTTCAATCCGGTTAATAATGCCTCTATATAACTCCAGGTTTACCAAAAGATAAGAAAAAGTTTCAGTTCCTTTTTTACAAAAGCTTTATAGAACACAAATTCTGAAAAGAGATCAGTAAATTTGAAGTCAGGTTTGCCATTGGAGTTCACCATCTTCAGGTGAACCCTATTCACCACCAAGTCCTAATGGTACTTCAGTAACCTTGTGCTTCGATTGGGGTCCAATACTAATTTGAGATTCCAGTCAATCATTAATATCAATATCTTAGCAATAATTTTATTTTAGTAATATTATAAAAATTCAGTATTTTTCATTTTTGCAACATCTGCAGCTCCTATGTGGGTCAATATCTCAATGTGTATAGTATATATACTATTGTTTTAAGGTTAAGCCCATACCATAGTGATCTTTTCCCAGTTAAAGTGATTTCATATAAATATTTCCATACATTAACCTACCCCACAGGTGTCATTTATTTCTATTTTGGACACATTGAGAGATTTTTATAGAATATCTAGTTTTTAAGGTCTAGTAGGTAGTTGGTGACACATGACTGAAGCTCAGGAAAGAAACTAGGATTGAATATATAGATCAAAGCATCACCTTCATGGAAATGATCATTAAACTCATGAAGGAAGGAAAGAAGCATCTATTAAGCACCCACTGTGTGCTAGGCACTATGCTAAGTGCTTTACAAATATTATTTCACATGTTTTGCATAACTACACATGTATGACCTTTATGAAACTACTTACCTTCCCAATGAGGGGGGAGAGAAGAGAGTGTGAGAGAGAATTTGGAACTCAAAATCTTAAAAAAACAAAGGTTAAAAATTATTTTCACATGTAATTGGAAAAAAATAAAATACAAAAAAATTTTTAAAGACAGACTATTTCATTTGACCCTCATTAATAATCCTAGGATGTTAGTGCTATTATTATCTCCATTATACAGTTAAGGAAACAGAGGTTAAGAGACTTGCCCAGGATCACACAGCTAGTAAGTCTCTGAGACAGGATTTAAACTCAGGTCTTCCTGACCCCAAGCCTAGCACTCTATCCACTGCACTACCTAGCTGCCTCTATGAAAACTGATGAGATCACCAAAAGAGATTAGATAAGAAGAGAGGAGGCCAGGGCCCAAGACAGAGCCGAGGGGTACACCCAGAAGTAAAAGCCATGACAAGTAGTTAGACAAGTAGAAGGAGAATTAGAAGATAGTAGAGTCACAAAAACCCAGAGAAGTGAGACTGTCTAAGAAGAGAGAATAGCCAACAGTGTCAAATGCAGAAGAGAGGTTAACAAAGATGAGGGATACGGAGAGATGAACCAGTTAAGAGATTGTGGACAGCTTTGGAGAAAACAGTTTCAGTTCAGTGGTGAGATCAGAAGCCATATTGCTAAGAGTTGAGAAGTAAGAGGAGAGAAAATGGAATATATAGTAAAGCAGAAAATTTAGAGGCTGTTTGCCTTTCCTATTTTATATGAAAAGTTGATTATGTTTTAAATCATATTTTTAAAAATCTGCATTTTGTATAATATCCTTTGCTATTCCACTGAGCCACTAAAATAATTTTTTTTTTTGGCTAGGCAATGGGGTTAAGTGACTTGCCCAGGGTCACATAGCTAGTATGTGTCAAGTGTCTGAGGCCAGATTTGAACTCAGGTCCTCCTGAATCCAAGGCTGGTACTCTATCCACTGCACCACCTAGCTGCCCTCCAATTCTTTGCTACTACAAAAGTTCCTACAGTGACATTTTCTATTTTTGGACTGGGCATTGGTATAAGGAATCTTTGATAAGTAAGCTATGTTACCACTTGCAGAAAGCAGAGGCAAAAAATAAAGCAACAAATATTTAAGCTTTGTGTTAGGCATTGGGGATAGAAAGCACCATCTAGTTGCCCCTAAAATAAAATTTTCTAAAAGCAAATAGTAAAGTAGCCACATGAGAAATGGATCAGTTCTACCCTCTACCTGCCTTTTTTTGTTATGTATGGGTAGACAAGATTGAGAAATGACCCTTGCCTGTTATGAAGAGAGTGAAATTCATAGAATTTTGTATTTGGAAGTGACCACTGAGGTGATCTAGGCCCAACCATCCCTTTACTACAAATCCTTTCTCCAACATTTCTAGTAGGTAATCATAAGGCCTATGATTCCTTGGCTCTTTTTGTATAAATGTTTCCATCCATCCAATTAACCATGAATAAATAGGGATGTACTGAGAGGCTCATCTCTGTTTTGTCATGATCTTCCCTCCCTGCATAATCATTGCCTACCCAGCTCTGTAAAGGTCAGCGCCTGGTTGCCTCCCAGTTCCTGTGGTCTCTCTTGAGTATATGCTCTGAGTCAATTACTAGACTCTATGAGGCTAAGGCGAGGGAAGGAATGGGAAAGAAAATGGGGGAAGGAATCTCTTTTCTTTGAGTTGTTTAGCATTTACCCACAGTAAAATTCTACGTGAAGGCCGTAAGGGATAGCACTGGGCACTTAGAGATTATACAAATAGAGCATAAGTTCTGGCAAGTCCGACCAAACCAGAAAGACCTAGAGTATAGGCCCTCTATAGTCCACAGAATATAGAGACAGGCGGACTTTACATCTATCCACGCATGACCAGTCTAGTTAAATTTACAGAGGTTTAGCACTAAGATGTCCTCAGGGTAATGGATTTTGTGGCCACAGAAGCTCTTGCCCACTTCTTAGTTTCCTTCACTTCCTACAAGATTCAGTTCAAATATCACTTTCTGCAGGAGGCCTTGCTGGTTCCCAGCTATGAGAGCCTTCCCTTCTAAGGTTACAGTTCACGTACTTTGTGTCTTGTATGTAACCTATTCACTTACATGCTATCTTCCCCATTAGACTGCAAGCTCCTTGAGGTCAGGGACTATGTTTTACATTTCTTTATATTCCTATCCCTTAACACAGTGCCTGGCCCATAGTAAACAGTTAATAATTGTTAATGGATTGATTGAAGTTTTGAGGGGTTGAAATCTGCATTGGTGGAGGGTGAGTGTTCATACCTATAAAACTATGGACCGTTGAAGTTCAGCATGTATACATGACCATATTTTAAAGAATCATTCACCACTTGCATTGTTGCTTGCTTCTAGATTCCATGTCAAGATCCCCAAATCTTCCAAGTCGAAATAATCTCTCATCTACTCCTCGACGACTGGGCTTCCGGTCATCTCTAACTTCACTATTCTCTTTTGGAAAATCAGGAAAGGAGACTATAAAGCCTCAGCCACCATCACAACAAGGGTAAGCTAACCACAGATCACATGTATGTTCCATTGGCATATTATCTAAGAAGGAGGTATCATATTTCTCATTCATATATTAGCTATGATAAGATTAGGAGTCAGTAAGACTGTACAATCTAACAAAAATTTGTTAGGGGTCTATTACAAGCAATGTACTATGCTGGACACTGAAGATTCAAAGACAAAAAAATTAAACATTCCCTGCCCTCAAAAAGCTTATGTTGTATAGGAGGATGGGGATGGGGTGATACAACATATGCAGAGATAAGTGATTTCAAGATAATTTGAAAAGAAGAAAGTGCTAACATCAAGGGTATCAGAAAAAGCTTCTGAAAAAAAGCTTTCAGAAAAAGTCAGGTGGGGCCTGACTGGAGCCTTATAGAGGCACTTCATTTTTTAAGTGACTTATTGATTGATTGATTGATTATAGGAAGCCAGGGAATCTAAGAGGAGACAATATGTGAAGATGGATTATGTTCCAGACCTGTACCTGGGGCATCAGAGTCAACTGACCTGGTCTTGTAGCCCAAATGAGGCTCTGTGAAGCATGGCTTATCTGAAATGAAGTTCCTACCTTGGTGCTTTGGGTCCTAGCTCTTGGGACCCTGATTGTATTTGAGAAATCCGAAACTAACCATTGGGAAAGTCTTTATTATATAGTCTCTTCTCATTTCAAAGGATTAAATTGGTTCCCTAGCAATACAGAGCTACTTGGTATTCTTAGTATGGAATGAGGAAGTACTTGGGGGTTACACAGATGAAACCTTTGAAAGACTGAATGGAAGTAAATAAGAAATGTGAGATGGATTCTGGAGAGCAAGTTTGAATCCCACAGACTGCTTGGCTCAGTCATGGGATTCAACCTTGCTAGGCCTTTCTAGGGCTGCTGGGTGGTTGTTAAATCTGTGCAGAAACAGCGAAAGGCTCCATCCTAAAGCTTCCCCAGAGCAGAGTTCAAAGGTTGGGAGGATGGGGAGCCAGTGTCAGGAGCAGACATTTCTAGACTGGATCAGTCCACCTTTACTCACTGTGCTGTCAAATTTAGTCTTTTATGCAAGAAGCAAGTCTATGGTTACTTTCAATTGAGCTGACTGCTAAATATTTTAGTCACGTCTCTTCCTGGTTTAAAAAAAATAAGCTTCCCACCCTTTTAAGGTGTTGGCTTGGCATGTGATTTTGTTCCGTATGAAGACAAACCATTAGAAACAAGTTCTGCCTGCAGTCAGTAAAGGTGCTGGAGAGGGAATCCTAGCTGCCTAGAGAGACAAGAGGCAGTGGCAGCCACGACCCAAGTCGGGTAATGAGGCTCAAGAGCATTGACTGCGAAACTTTCTTTTTCCTCAGTTCTGTGGCTGGAAGCCTTGCAGCTACCAGCTGCCACCTGAGGGCTGTTTTGTTCTCTGAAGAGATTTTTCAGATTTGGTAGGGAAAAAAAAGTAGGGTGTTTTTTGTTTTGTTTTGGAATATCCTTACCAGGCTAACTGACTGAAAACCTGTGCTGGAATCTATTTTGGTAGGTAAGAGTAATTTTTTCTAACCAAAATGTTGGAAGGGTTTGTAATTATTTTCATGTTCAGGCACTCGAGACTGGATCAGAAGTGCTTCAGAGAAATGTTTCTTTTAGAGAGAAAAAGGATGTTTTTATATGTGATACAGGTTAGGCTTTTTGCATGTGACTGGATTTTAGATGATTTTTTATTGGTTACTGTTATAGAAAATAGAATAATCCAAGATGAGGAAAACTGGGGTCAAGTTTGAGGGAAACTTGTAGCTTATCACATTGATCTGTACATGTGTTTTCAGATTGTTTCAGAAAATGTCAACCAGAAAAGTTTAAAAATCTCTTTATCTCTTATCATCTGCAATACATGTGTTATGGACAGGGTGTATAAAAGACTTGTAACTTTCTAGCCTGACAGCTACCTTTCACAGTAAGCTGTATGGACATTTAGCTCTGCATAACTTCACTCAATGAAAAATAGTCTGCATTTTTCAACCAGAGTCATGATTTCATCAGTGTAGGTGGCTATGCATGCATAAAAAGAAAAAATATATATATATATATATATTACTAATTGTTAGCTAGAAAAAACCTGGTCAAATGGAATCATTTAAATATTTTTTTTAAACTTTAAATTTTGATCATTAAAAAAAATTGTCTTCTAATGCATTTCATTTTCAAAAGATGAGTAGGAATGTTTGCTTGATCTAGCTCTTAGCCTAGTAGTTTGCACACAGTAGGTACTTGATGAATGTTTGTTGAATTGACTCATCATTAATAGATATTTGTTGATTTTAATAATGCACTGGACTCATACTTAAGGAAGCCATGCTTCCAGTCCCTTAAAACTCACGTGCTAAGACACAGATGAGCAATTCATGACCAGTCCCACATATTTGCCTTATGTTTTTTAAATATATGACTATGGCTTAAATGGATATAAATCTTGAAAGTGCTTCCTCTCTCCATTTTTTTATGCCGCATTGGGTAATGTGAACCGTGCATCACTGGCCCTGTGGGTCACTCAAAACTTGAACTAAACCTCTCTTTTATTAGTCATTCTGATTATTAATCTCAACCTCCGAACTATAAAATCCAGTAGAGGAGGTCTTCCCTGCCTCCCAGCACATTGGGAAGAATTGACAAAGCACTCAGGAAAACAGTCACCCTGAACAAGGCAGCAGTCAGGTTTATACTTGCCGAAGCAGAGGAAAATATGCCACATTATTACTTGCCAGGCTCCTGAGAAATTAAAGAACAAAGTACAGCATTTTTTGTAAAATATCTTACAAGAAAAAAAGCACAAATTCCCCAAAACCAAAAAAACTATTCTGCCCACCCTGAACTAGACTAGCAGAAAAATGATTTTTATTCCTTCCTTTCTTCTACAACTGTTTGTTAACTTGAAGAGTTGGTTAAAAGTATCACCTTTCCAGAGACTGTTGACTCATCACATCCAGGAGCTCTTCTTACCACTTTTCCTGGGCTACAGAACTTGTCTCCAGTGAGATTGTCTGTGACTTTGATGTTCCAATATTTGTAGGTCAGCACTGGGTGGTTTGGGAATATGCTTATTTACACAAGGGTCAAAGCTTCTCTTCTTTGTTTCACATGCTACTCCTGAAATTATCTCATCTTTATTTTTAATCCTGTATTTAATCCGCTAAACTATACCCATGCATTAGTTCTTTTTTCTAGAGAAAAGAAAATACATTCTGTTTACATTTCACTTAGCTTACTCTCACCAAGTTTTCTCAGTCTGGGTAAATTAGATGTATGTTGAATTTAGTGCAGCCTACACAAAAGCTGTTTTAATAGGATCATTGGTTTAGAATGGGAAGGGAAATCAGAGGTTATATAGTCCAAACTGGGGGTGGGGAACCTTCGGCCTTAAGGCTACATGTGGCCTTCTAAATCCTTAAGTGTGGCCTTTTGACTGAATCCAATTACCAAAATTTAAAATTGGATTCAGTCAAAAGGCCACACTTAAGGATTTAGAAGGCCACAAGGCTGCGGGTTCCCCACCCTTGGTCCAACCTCTTCATTTTACAGCTGAGGAAGCCTAGGCCCAGGGATTGCAAAATCATGGACTTGGAGCTGGAAAGAATTTTAGAGGCCATCTAACCTGACTCTCATTTTATAGATGAGGAAACTTGAGGCCCAAAGAGAAGGGACTCTGCCCAAACTCACATGAAGTGTAAGTGGCAGAGCTGGCATTTGTACCCCAGGCCTCTTACTCTAAATCTGGAACTGTCTCTATCACATCACACTATTGATAAGAGGCTTGTGTATGGTCATACACCTAGTGGGATACCAAGGAAGGATTTGAACCAAGGACCTCTGTGCTTGCTTTATTGCACCGTGCTGCCTTCCTCTCTTTGATTATGATGATAATGGTGATAATGATTATGAAGGTTTGAAAAGTGCTTTATGCATCTCTGAACTTCACAACAGCCCTATTTGACAGGGAGGAGACTGATATTTCAGAAGGGCTATATGACTTCCTCAAGCTTTTTTTATGCTATTCTTCTTAGATTATAGGGAAAATAAACTATAGCTTTTTAGAAACCCTAGTTACATCATTAAAAAGAAGGGGGAAAGGCTAGAAACGATTCTTACCTCCAGTCTTTATCTGGGAAGACAAAAGATCCTCCTAAAATCTCTTTCTGCTTCCCTGGGGGTACCCTGACTCCCCTCCCTATTGTCTACTTCTCTCCTTGGAACATATTGGTAGCCCCTGTGCACAGGCAATAAAAAGAATCTGGCACATTTAGAAAGAAGCAGTATTTCTGCTTGAAGCTGCTCTTTGTCCCAGGTCTGACGTCCACTTATATATGAGGTATAGTAGCAGTTTGGGAAGGAAGAGATATAAGGAACATGGCATAGTGAAAGTTCTGGCTCTGGAGTCAGGATATTTGAATTTGGATCCCTGCTGTGATAGTAGTGATCACTTAAACTCTCTGATTCCCAGTTTTTTCATCTATAAAATGGGGATAATATTTTCAATATTTGCCTCTGAATATATGCTAAATAATCTCAACTGGGTGCTCATTACAGCAAAGCAAACCTTCTACACCTCCCTAATTGATTCTCTATCCCACTCACAATAGAGGTTAAACAAAACCTTTTCATCCTTCCTCAATCCCTACCCCTACCCCTATTATGCTCTTCATCCCACTACCTCAGGTGAAGACCTCAGCTAATACTTCACTCAAAAAAATGAGGCCATTCAGCAAAAGCCCCTTTATCTTCCCTTCTCCTCATATCACTTAGACTTCTTCCCCCAATATTTGTCCCCCACTATGCCCCAATACTCTTTCACCCCTATCTCACATTAAAGTGGCTCTTCTCCTTGTCAAGACCTTGATCCGATACCTTCGCATCTTCTCATGCAGATTGCCCCTTCTGCCGTCCTCACTCTCTTTGATCTTTAATCTCTCCCTATGGATGGTGGGCTGCCTGCAAACACGCCCATGCCTCCCCGTGCCTATCCTTAA